TGCAAAAAAGATACTTAAGCCAACAGTGCCAGTTTCTCACATTTTAAAGGTACAACTCAAACATTCTATAATAAATTCATTTTCATTTTTCTAGTAGTGCTTACTGTCTTTAATAAGGGAGATTATATTGCATGGATTCTTAGAGAGCTTTGAATTATTTCTTCTTTTTATTCTCCTATTCGTTCTGCTTTTTTTTCCCCTCCTGTAGGGTGGGAGTGTTGTGGCAAATGTGAAGGCTCTAATCTTTGATCTTCGTATATAAGACTTCTTTCTACTGCAGAATCATTTATGACAGGCTAAATTAGCCTTTGATCAGAGGCTTTGATTTACTTTTTAATTCCCTGCTTCATCACTAGGCTCTGAAATGTGTCTGCTCTTGTTGCCCTCTTCAGTTCAGTTGGTGATAGTAGTGATGTATTTCACTGGTTTGCTTCCTTTCCAAGGCCTCAGATGTCTACACGTGTGTGCAAATAAAATCTGCTGTTTTGAGGAGAGGTCTATGATTTGTGTCAATGTTTTACATGGTATTTTTCCCCAACATAGATTGTCTTAGGGAAAAATAACATTTTCTTGACGAAACACAATGTTCTCCTTTTACTGAATTTTGCTCTAAGTCATTTGTTTGGTTGTGCTGCATATTTTCATAGACATTTGGTAAGTACAGTCTGTCAAGTTGCTACTTGAACAATCTTTTTAGATATCAATATAAGATCAAAAGTATCCACTTATTAAAGAGGTCACCCATGATTTGCTGGATTTCAGTGTCTCTTTGTCTTTAATAACTTAATAGTCATTACAGTCCATCTTTTCTCTGTGATGCAGTTGCAACTGAGCAACTGTTTTCTTTTTGATGGAAGGATTCTGCCATCTGAATTTGCAAAGAATACATAAACAAACAAAAGAAGAAAATGGCTATGAAAACTGAGGACACCTTTATTGCCTTAATTGTGGAAATGATCTCACGAGTGTTTGCATATGTACAAATTAATCAAATTGCACATGTTAAATACATGCAGTCCTTTGTATATCAATTACACCTTAATAAAGCTATTAAGAAGAACCCGTACACTGACAGTAACAACAAAATGTTCATAGACCGATGCTTAAAAGTGTAATTTTCACACAGTGCTCATTTTATAGTCTTTCAATTTTGAGATGCCATTTCCCTATTAACTTAAAATCTACCTGTAGCATTTAATAACATATTTATATAGCTTAGTTTCCCATAAGAGCCCTCACTGAACTTCCATGCCTCGGAAATCACATTTATTTATGTACGTGATTTGAGTAAAAGCAACTTCAATAAGACTCCAGTTGAAAAAAAATGTATTTTTGGCACCTCAATACCAAAAGTATGTATTCAGATTGGAAGTAATCCGAAGAACAGGCAAGAGAAGGATGAAGAGAATGGGGTGCTTGGCTAAGGAAGAAATGTGAGGCTTCTAAAAGTTGCCAGTGTGGGTAAACAACAATAAATGAATATAACAGTCCATAAATAATGAAAAGGCACAGATATCAAATATGGATAGGAATGAATAATTTTGGGACAAGGGCAAAGAGCTGATTCTGATACACTCATACCATGGTAAAGAAAATGAAAAAGTAGACAGTTTAGCCTCATCATATTGAAGCATGAAATTTCATAAAACTGGAAGCATGGAATATTGTATCACCTTTGAATGCCCATCTCAAAATGCAAAAAAAAAATTCACTTAATTATTCAACAGAGGAAAACTTCGTTCTGTGGACATCAGTTTCACTTGGCACTTCTTGTGGAGAGATTTTCATTTTTCATAATACACATTTAATAGTACCTCACACCTTTATCTCCTAGTGGTCTTGAATTAGTCACAGGTCAATGTCAATGACGAGACCAGGACCCACTTGGCCAGGTGGGAATTTCAAAGAGCTAATAGTTCAGGAAACATTAAATCTCATCAGTAACCACTTTTAAGTGTAACTAGAAACTTCTAGCAAGATTGCCAAGAAGATTATAGGATCCAGAGAAGCAATCCAGGAACTTCTCAGCACAGAAGGTGTCCAATAAGTGATCTATCAGGAGAGTCTTTCCCTCCTTCCCTTTTCTTTCTTCTTCTCCCAAACCCTCACATTACAAAGCTTCTAGTGTGTCCTAGGTTCTATGCTCAGTGGTAATGATGTAAATATACATTTGACCTAGACCCTCCCCTTCAAGATGTGTCTATGAGACAAATGTGCAAAGAATTAATTGAAACTAAGCATAAGATATGTAAACAGAGCTAGAAAGAGACAGAGGCAGGATTAGTCAAGTAAGTTGCATTAGTGCAGCATGTACAGGTCATTGAACTGAGAACATTCAAGGAGAGATGTTTCATCATATCAGAGTATTAGAGCCCCAGAGTATTAGAGCCAATCCCTGGTATAGCTAAGCATGTGAATGGTCCCTGAAGAAGGTTTGGTGTCATTGGGAAATAACTAATACCCTTATAAAACTCCACAAACCATCAAGGGAAGGCAGCTACAATTTCCTCTTCTGTGATAGCACTTTACTATGACTTAAATGAAAACACTATTCTCTCTTACCTACTCTAAGGACATGTAGCTTAGTTTTTGATATAAAAGAACCCATTCAGATCCATAAATCAGTAGGAAAAGCAGTGCGTAGAGATAGGCAGCATCAAACAGTCTTGGCACGTGACCCAAGGTGACTCACACAGCACATGTTTTATCATGTTCTTCTGCTACATTAGTGTAGCCTCTATCACTCAGCTACTTAGGCCTTCTCTTAAGATGTGTGGATAACATCATCTTTGGATAAATTATACATAAGCATGGCAATAATTGAGATATATAAATTATATTCATCTGATAGGAACAAAATCAACCTCATAAAATTATTAATACTTCAACTACAGACTGTGGTCTGAATAATTTCAGAAAAATTTGGATATTGAAAAATATAAGATCAAAATCATTATTCATAAGTTATAGTCTAATCAAAGCCTTGAGGATTATTTTATTCCCTTCTTGAAATTCTTGAGAGATTGTATAGCGAGGGGAAAAACAACAGATTCTCAAAAGAAAATTAAAATGTGTGTGTGTGTGTGTGTGTGTGTGTGTGTGTGTGTGTGTGTGTGTGTGTCTTTGGGTAGGTAGGTGAGTATGAGTGTACTAAAACGGTAATTCCATAAATCTTTCCTGGAAGCTGCATGACTGATTTTGTAAACACCACAATAACAACAGACAGTACACAAACTTATTTTGTAGACTTAAATAATGATTTGATCAACCATCAGAATAACACAAGAAATAAACATAATTCAATAAAATAAAGGAAAGGATGCATGTTTATGAGTGAGCAAGGTGTTTTGTAGGTTGCCATTTATTTTCATGATGTCAACAGACATAATTATTAATACATCATCATGACACAGCTGAAATTAAGATTCTCCATAGTAGCATAGTAATATCTTTTTTTAAAACGTAATACCCTGAGCATTATATTTCACCCCTTGCTTTCTCAGAAGATTTACCTAGGTTTCTCATGAACTAGAAATTCATTTAGAGTGAAATCATGAAAGTGTTTTAATGAAATATATGTACCTCTCAAAATCATCATCAAAGGATCTGATTAGTCAGATTTCAAGAAATGTTTTTCCTAAGGAAATTAGAATAAATCTCAAATAGTTTTTAATCTTCCGAGAGACCTGTAGATTAACTGTGGTTACAAAAAACCTATATGAATACCTCTTTTAGAGCAAGTTCAGAAGAGAGAATCTAAATACTATCATGGAGGGCAAAACCACTTCAATGAACGAAACAAAGAGGATAAATGTTATTCAATGTGCGCGTGCACACACACACACACACACACACACACACACACAATTTCCTTGTAGACATATTTTTTAAATAGTCCCCCATTTGTCTAGAAGGCCCCTGGGGGTTATCAGGAACCAGGTATGCTAACAATGACTCACAAAGCCAAGGTGGTCCATTTCTTTCCACTTTTTGTTGTCATTAATTTACATTTATTAAGATCCCATTTGCAACCAATATACAGAAAAATTCTGCATGCACCAAATTATACCTTAATTCTTCAGAAGTATAAATTCTATTGCTAACAAAAGAAAATCACTTTTTTATTCATATTGTTAAGAAAAAAACCTTGTTTATCCCTCCAGTCACTTTGTCTTTAAAAACAAGTAATGATACTAATTATTGACATTTACTGAACCAAACACAATGCTATGGACCAAACACAGGGCTAATAAGCATTATAAACATAATTAATTTAACTAGTACCTATAGGTAATTACAACTATTATTTCAATTTTATGAGTTAGGAAATGAGGGTCAAAAGGCAAAATAGCTTCCCCAGAGTCACATCACTGTGTGCATGGTCCTCCCTAATGTAGACTTTTCTCACTGTTCCAAACTCTTTGAAATTAGTTATAATTCTGCCTGGTATTGTACAAAGAATTTTAAAAAACACCAGTGGATCACTCAGTTTAGATTTCACAAGGATGCAAATGTAAGGAACACTGACTAAAGCTGAAAGCCCTTCAGACCATAAAGAGTGAGCTCTGTTTGGCCCCTGAAAACACAGATTTTCTAAAAAAAAAAAAAAAAAAACTTCAAGCCTTCTACAAAGCCAACTTTCTCATATCTTAGTAGTGAAACTAATTTTCTCATTAAAAATGATATTTAGATAAATATTATAAAGATGCCATTTTCAAATATTCCAAAAGTTCATCCAACAAGAAAAATAACGTTAATATAAGGGTTTTGCACTTGCAAAAATAGGCCAGCATTAATGGAACTCAAAAAACCAAACAATTAAACCAAAATCTCACTACATTGTATCTCTGGTCCATATCTACACTAAGTAAGCCCATAGTAACTATAAAAGTTCTCCTTATCCTGTGTTATTCCCTCTGGCTATACTCCTATACTATGTACTCTAATAATTAAATACAATAAAAAATGCACACAAAACGGATTAAGGAAAATATTCTTACCGGTAAATTAAGTTCCCCTTAGTTCCACTATGGTATGTTTGCAATATTAAGACAGAATCATTGTTTGCAGTTTACAGCACCTAGGGATAGATTTTAAAGTTGTAATTATGAAATAATGTCTGCCTAAAGAGTCACTTTTAAATTAATTTTTACCTTTTCTCTGTTAAAAAAACATTGACTTATTTTTTTTCTCCCCAGAACTCCCCGAAATTTCCAGTCAAATTCCTAAACAATAGAATTGCTCTGTTGCTAAAAAAAGAGAGCCTGTGAATTTCTATCTAGGAATAACAAAAGCAAAGAAGGCAGACATGCAGAAAACAGTCACATAATTACACTTCTCGTTGAAAGAATTTTTGACATGTCATCTCTCACGAATTCAAGTACTTTGCAACAGATCACAATGTGTAAGTATTTCTAAATGGCAGTTCTCCGTGGACTGTTCTGCACAATAACCACTTGCTTTTGTCTGATGCTGTGACCAATCTGTCAAAATAAAACAATATGGACCAAAATGAGGAGAGCTCTGTCAGAAAGTGCTCAAAGATCAGACCTCTAAGAACTACAGAGTAAAAATAAGCTTTCAATTCAAGAGGCCACCTCTCGCCCAGGTGTGCCATGTCTAGCCTCCTATCTCTTAAAACATTAACATATAAAATGAAGGAAGTGGCTCAACCAATAAACACAATCCTTTCATTGTTAATTCCCAGATGACTCAAGGATTGGCTCCCAATCGCTAAAATTGCCTATAAGTTTGTTTTAGAATGCCATCCCATGAACACAACTTTGAAAAGCTAAGATTTCCCGCTAGGTATCAAGATAATCAAAATAAGTCAAAAAAATTTTGCATACCAGTTTTCATAATTTATGACATTCAGAAGAGCTAAATTCCATGTCATAAATCTAACTCATTCTGGTAGAAATTACTAGTTCAAGAGATTTAAAAATTACAATATCTTTAGTTCTAAGAAAAGGGAGGATGGCTACAAAATTCAAAATACTCATTTCCATTCTGTACATTATTTGACAAACTCTTTGGCCTTATTCCCAAAGCTGTTGCCAAGAAGTTATAAACAGATTGTGATGCCTCCGGAGAGAACCTCATACTGATACATTGAAAATAAAAATTCCACCCTGGCAAGTATAAGAAAAATTTTCACTGCTCTCCAATTGACCAAGTGACACACTGCATGGACTGTGCCCTTAATACTTTTATTTAGTAACCTCATTTCAACCCCATCAGGTCTACTTCTTACATCATTATTTTGTGCATGATTACAGCAAACAGGATGGTTTTTTGATGACTAACAATGGACAAAATAGCGCTTAAATAACTCCTAAAGAGTAAGTCCATGTTACACGTTGCTTGAGTATAGTTGTGTTCACTAACTTCTGCACTGACTTCTTACTTAAATAGAGGAATACAAAAACTGACTCACACTGTGCTGTGTTCAGCATTTTATTTGTATTACAACAGTTTCAGGTAGAAAAAAATGCACACATTCAAATGAGATTTGCTGATCTGATTTCATTTGCTGCGGCTAAAGATAAATGAATGTTATTTATCCTAGTGATAAAGAATTGCATAAATTAAGCATGTTCTATAGCCAGGGTGCTATTTTTATTGTTCTAATATTAAATTACTTGAAGACATCTCTTCAAAATCATCATATCATGCAGCTACCTCAGGTGACTCTGCCCAAAGAGTCCTAACTTCTTACCCTGTCAAGGATACCCATGACAACAGAGATCAGTGCCTGTGCTGAATTATGGACCACAATCTCACTTAAGATTTTCAAGCAGTTGTTTGGCATTAGGCATGGAGACTGTAGCTATGATCAGACTTATTTGTATGCTCACAGCAACAGCCTATGCCTGCTGAGCTCTCATTTACCTCATTTAACTTTGGGTGAGAAGGCACTCACATTAATCATGTATTAAGTTCTTTGTTACTAATCTAATCTGTGTGTGTGTGTGTGTGTGTGTGTGTGTGTGTGTGTGTGTGTGTGTGTATGTGTGTTTAGTGGTTGGTATAAATGAATAATTATCTTTGTGTTAAGTTTTCTTTCATTCCTTCATGTTGAAGGTGTGTGATCTCTAAAAAGGGGCATACAGATAACCCTTTAGAATGCAACAAGTAATATTAAAACATACATGTAAGATTGTTGTATTCATCTAATTTTTTTTTATTTCTCTATTGTTTCTCATGGTAAATTTTAGCACAGCAAGTATCTGTACAATTGAGCATACACATATCATAGAAAATAGGTTCAAACCTTATTGTGGTAGGAATGTACAGACATTACACTACTATAGCCTAAAGAACGCATCTTTCTCATATTTATATTAGCAGGATGTATAATCCTTTTAATTTATTTACTCTAGAAGCATTTACTCTTTTCCTAACCACTTTTGACATAGATACTAAAGTCTTATTTTCTAATCTTAGTGAAAAATTGTTTAAGTTTAGAAATCTAAGTTCCTTCTACTTCAGAGTTGCAAATAAATATATCTAACAAATTTAAAAGGAGAATAAATAGAAATACTGAATGGAAAATCTGAAGAATTTGAAACTGTATTAAAGCAGAATGGACCCTAGCGTCCTTATTGTTTCTTTGCTTTTTTGTTAAAATTTAAAAGTTATTACTAAAAGAAAATATAATGTGGGCACAATTAACTAGTTACATTAAACTCTACACACTTGTGGCAATAAAAAAAAGAGGGAGAAAATACACTAGAAAGAGAAATAGAATTTGCTCAATAACAAGATATAGTTTAACAAAATGGATTAGGATGGGCTACTGAGGAAACAATGTACCCATGGTGGGTAAAAAATGGGAGCTCGGAATCAGCAGTCAGGTCCACATACCTTCTGAATATGAGCATCTTGCAACTCTAAAGTTATCTAGTATTTTCCATACAACATAGCATCTACAACAATTCTATGACTTCATCAGGTGCTCACCAAGAGAAATAGTGATCTATTGCAGTGCTGGAGGGAAAGTTGGCTTCACAAGACTTATTTTAAGATAATATGTCATTTTTCAACATGACACCTAAGATAATTTAAGGCAAACTTCTCCTTACTCACTGAGTTTACAACAAATCATACGTAAACTGTGACTCTATCTAGACAAAACTAAAGACCAAACAGCTATCATAAATATCCCCACATATTTTACTCTGTATTTAATATAATGGATATTGAGTTCCATAAAAGCATATCTTAATTCTTGAAGCAATACCAATGTCACTGCCCAGGACCATAATAAAGCTTAATAACTAAAGTTTGGATGAATTAATGAACAAATACATTGCATCGATGTATATCCATTAACAGTGGCATTTCACAGTTCCTTCACCTGACAGCCACAGGTGTGAATATCATACTCTCATAGAACAGGAAGGAGCACATTACCATCACAGTAGCTATCAAAAGAGATGCTGTAGCAGAAGAAAGAAACAGATGGGTTGAATTAGAGCAAGGATATACTTATTTATTATGTGATTGTAGGTTAATCAGTCTTTCAGAACTCCAATAGTCTCATTGGTAAATAAGGGCTAATTGTGTCTACTTTACAGAATGCACATGAATAGAAATAATGTGCAAAAAAATATTTAGCACAGGGCTGGGATCTAGAGGGGGCTCAGTGAAAAACAAAAGTCATCAGCAACAGTGACATTGCTATCCTGAGTCATCAATGACGCTGGGAAAGGCACTTGATCAGTCTATGTTTTCCCCCACTTGAAGGTCCCCATTCAAACTCAGTCAACAGGAGGAAACCATGTGGCAACCCAGATGGTGACACATGAACCTTATCAGCTGCTGTGTAAGACACATGTGTGGGCAAGCTATGTATCTTACTCTCATAAGACAAAACAGGTTTTGTTGTTGTTGATTTTGTTTTTGTTTACAATGTTTTATGCAAGACTGTGAGTTCCTTAAGGTTACAGAAAAATTGTCTTATTAATTTTTGGCCCCTAGTGCCTAAGCACAGTGGCTGTCAAATATTGGTTGATTAACACACATACAAGGAATGAAAATGTCTATTCTTTGTGTGTGTGTGTGTGTGTGTGTGTGTGTGTGTGTGTGTGTGTGTGTGTTTAAAATCAAGACTGCTTTCTTCATTTTTTTTTTTAAATGTACCTAATCTAAATTGATCTTTAAACACTGGAGATTTTCAAGTGATTTTAAAAATCGCTAGAAAAAGCTAAGAGCATCTCAGGTTTTAGTCAATATTTGGGTCAATATTCTTAAGAAGTTGGGATTGAAAACACTTCTTTCTTCTGTCATCAACTAACACTTTCCTGGCAGGAATGATCTCTTAATTCAAATCATGGAAGCCCATGTTCTCAAAAGGTATGCCAATATGCTCAATACAAATATGTTGAATGACTATATCTTTTTAAAAGAGAAACGATATATGATGCATGTAATATTCCCTAGACTATATGCTAGTAGTACCACAAAAATGAACACACACAGAGAAATTCTTCTTTCAATAAGCCTAACATAAAATGATGCACAATAAAATGAGAACCAGAAAAAAATACAGGCAGTAAATGTTTGCTTTTAGAAATTATTTATCAGCCAAACCTTATACAAGTTATATAAAGATGTTTAGTTTTTTTTTCCCTAAGAATACATCTGGGAGAGCGCTCTGAGAGAAAATAATCCCTATTTATGAACACTAGTATAGTATTGGCATTTGTCTACAAAACATAGTTATTGGTTCACTATGAAGAATCATGTTTTTTTCCTAACGTCATATAGATATACACACTGGATATTATATTAAGCAATTTATATATTATTTCGTGTAGTACAAGTATCTCTAAAGTGGGTACTACTACTCTAGTTTTAAAGATTAAATGAAACCGGGTTCAGTGGCTCAGCTTGTAATCTCAGCGTTTTGGAAGGCTGAGGTGAGTGAATTGCCTGAGTCTGCGGGTTTGAGACCTGCCTGGGCAACTTGGTGAGACCTCATCTCTACAACAAATCAAAAAATTAGCTGGGTGTGGTAACGCACACCTGTAGTTCCAGCTACTTGGAAGGCTGAGGCAGAAGGATTGCCGGAGCCCA